CATATAAAAATAAATAAATAAATAAAAATTAAACATGGAGTATTAAAAAAAATCGACTATCGACTATCGAGTAATATAAGCTCTTTAGTGAGAGAGGTTTGTGATTGTTGAGAGAAAAAGGTTTCCTCAATGAGAGCAATTGTCTATTATTATATGTTTTGTTACTTAATGATTGGTGTTACCCCTAATCGAAAATTTTAGATCTGTTATTGTTCTCAATAATGAAGAGACCGTCTCTAAAAAGATAGTGTCTTTATTTATGAAATCTCTTACCTACGTACTATTTAAGGCTGGTTTCTTAGGCTTGTTTGGACTGATTTCTTTTCCATTAGAGAGCTAATTGATTAATTTTCTTGATTAAGCTGATCTTCATAACTTGAAGGTAGAGAAAAGCATGTTGTATTTGAAGATTATATACCAGGCGCCCAAGTGGCCCAACTAGCAATAAGGATCGGCCAAACGATGGGCCTTAAATAAATAATTGCACTTTTCTTATTATATTGTGTTAAATTTAATTAAATTATTATTATTATATGTATCCTATATCTGCAAAAACATGTGAATAATTGACTCAATTTGAAGAACATAGACAATATTTTGAGGATATATAGAATTTCTTTTCGTATCATTTCAAATCTCTGCAAATCTATTCTCATTCACATGGTAATGTCTAGTACTACATCATAAATTTATTATTATACAAATTCATCTATGCTTGTATGTGTAGGGCTAAGCTAGCATGGCCATGCATGGGTAGTTCTACCATTTTAAACGGTAGAATTTTGGGGATTTTTTTTTATTGATGAAGTCTTTAGATAGGTTTGGTGAAATAATAAGCCCTAAGTCCCTAACCCTCCAAACCATTCTCTCTTGGGAGATATATGTCTTTGCAATCAAATTTTTATCATCACTTTCGCGACTATATATAAATGGATATCTCTATAAATAAAATAAAATAAATAAAAAGATGTAAAGACATATATCTACCGTTATTCATGATTAGTTTAGGAGTGTTTAATACTTAGCATGTATTAAGAATTTAATTTTTTCTAAGAGAATTAAGTATCGAATAGCTTTTATTATTTAATGAAATTATCCCTCACTATTTCATTCAAAAAAAAATATTTTGACCCTAGAACCCCACTATATAAGTTCGATCCCCTTCAATACAATCAGTTGAAGAAAATAATAATGACTTGTCAGTAGGTTAACAAAAAACTATATAATGTTGTAATCTATGAGAAAAACTAATAGTACTATTGTACTTTGTTGAGCAATTAGATTTTGATGATTATCTACTCATCTAACATGTTTGTGAAGTTGTGCATGGAAAGAACAAGTTGAGTTTAAGACAAGATACAAGGAACTCGGGCAATGACAAAGCATATATATATATATATATATATATATATATATATATATATATATATATATATATATATATATATATGAGCAATAACGTATGATAAGCAACACAAAGAACAAGAACAATGATGAGCTATATATAGCTAATAAGCTTGATGATGGCTAAGGAACACATGAAGGTAATAACTATGTAATTAAATAAGTGTTTGCATAAGTTAAACCTCATAAGGTAAGTACTCTTTGCATACATATGTCATGTATGTGTAGTGTAGGAGTCTTTTTAGTTTAGTTTAGTTTTTCTAGGAGTTTTGATCCTATGTTGTAATGTTCTTTGTTTCAAAGTATTTGAGTTAGAGTTACTTTAAGGATCTTTAAATTCTTTATTTATTTATTTTTCAGTTGATTTTATTAATCACAAATAATACACGGAGGGTACTAAGCCCCTACCTAGGCAAATGCTCTTTAACCAACTAAGCTCTCTACCCTTAACTTTCTTATAAGCTATACCACTAATTCTATGATATACCTTCAAAAAAAACTCATATTGGCAACAATTTCATATCTAAAAATTTTTGCATCCCAAATTGCAAAAATCCTTTGATGTCATATACTGTAAACCAGATCAGAACAGAAGCTCTGATAAACCAACTTATGAAAAAACTCTTTATTGTAAAGTTCTAAATTTAGTTTAGTGTAATTAGTTTGGTTTTATTTTATTCTTTCTTATCTTCATAAATATAAAATTACAAAAATATGTGGCTTTATGTTTGATTAATTCTCCCACTTGAAATTAATTTGTGACAAACAAACTTCAATCTAATGTTCTCTTAAGTGTTTATATGAAGATAGGAATTAACTCAAGTGGATTCAAAGGGTGAGAACATATATATATATAGAAGACTTCAAGATGAACAAGAGAAAATGAATGAACCTAAAGCAGGTTCTTCTACGAGAACCAAAACAACTACCAGAACATTATATAGTGGAGCTTGGAGGTATTCACTTTTTGACAACTACCAAAACATTATACGAGAACCAAAACATTATGAACACGTTACACGAGAACCAAAACAACTACCATAACTACCAAAACATTATACGAGAACCAAAACAGCTACCAAAATTACCAAAGGAAAAATATTATACGAGAACATTATACGAGAACCAAAACATTATACGAGAACTAAAACAACTGCCAAAGGAAAAACATTATACAAGAACCAAAACAACTGCCAAAGGAGCCTGGAGGTATTCTATTTTTGACAGACCCCGCCTCTTAAAAGTAGTGGAGGGAAATTGAAATTGATTTCACGCAACAAGCTTTGGTTATGAACACAAAATATTTGTTGCTAAATCATTATTTTAGCAACAAAAAATTTTGTTGTTGGGAAAACTTGTTGCTAAAAATCAAATTTCTTGAAGTGTTAGAAGGAACTTTCGGCTGATTTCCCACAAGAGTCGGAGCATGGTCCATAATAGGTTCATGAGGTGTTCCCTAACAGGAACACACAGACTGCTCCTTGGTGCATGTGACAGTAAGTTCCATAAAGGAACTGGTTTGCGAGTTCAAGAAAGGAATGAAGTTGGTGGATAGTTGACAAGTTAATGACAACAGGTTCTCAGAAGAACTTGATCTGCATGTTCTAGCAAGAAACGAGTGAGAGTGACAGAAAGTGTCAGTTAGGAACTTTTGGCATGCGGTTCTAGGAGTGGAACATAGCCTTGAGTTCTTAAATACATCTAAATTGTATAAGCTTCCGGAACAAGATCCTTAGAGATCGAATTGAAGCAACATGGAGATGGAAAAATAGAAGTATATTTCTCTAGGATTCATGTACGTACTATTGTTATGAATGAGTGGAACAATGTCTATGGAACCAAGTTTGAACTCCAGACAGTCAATGAAATCAGAGTTACTGACTTATTAGGAACTTGGAGACTATATGAAATTCCGATCCTAAAAGGAACTAATGTCTGCCTTAAGTGTCAATTTTCATGATATATATTTTCATTTAGTACGTGCCTATCTTTAGGGATTATGTAAATTATTCACAACGTAGCTAAGTATGTATATTGATCTTTTTTTAAAGGAAAAATATAGTATGGTATATTAAGATTTTTTTTTTTAATTTGTTACTTATTTTGTCTGAATATTTAGTATTTGAATAAAGTTATTGTGTAAACTTGTTCTTAAAAAAATTAAATTAAATTATATAAAATATTTATCAATATAATTTGTTTTCATTAAATTAGCATTCAATTTGTTTGGACTTTATACAAATAAATTAAAAATTAATTTTTTTTTTCAAAGTAAGTAAAATAGTACAACGCCTAAATTGATATAGAATTCATGTATGACTGCATGAGTAATCAAGAAAGCCTTTATAGAAATTGGCTCAAAAGTTAAAACGTTTATTAGTTATTTCAAGAAGTAAAATTATATTTTGAAGGCATGCATCTAAATATTACAACCTTACAAGTATTATAATTTCTAGGTTTTACCAAAAAGGAATAAATAAAATTAATAATATGAAGCTTCCAAAATATTATTGAATTAATTAGTTTACTAAAGAGAAATATATGATAAATCCATATAAAGAGAAATATATGATAATATAAATGTATGAGAAACAACTTAGTATATATAGTGGGATTAAATGGACAAAGGAAAAGACAACAAAGTGGCTCCAAATTCATACATATATGATATATCCATATAATTCCACATTTTTATGTAATTTTGTTGCTTTCTAAGGGATTAAATAAAAATATAAAGACTACACTAACTAATGAATTAAGTATCATAAAAATAAACTGACAAATGCAAGAAAACAAAGGAAGGCCTTTTTATTTTTTAGCAAAGTTTTCGATGGTAAAAGTCTTCCATGTTATTTAGCGGGGCTCAACTCTTTTGGATTGACATAATTTGTCCGATCTCCTTCTTATTTTGTTCATATTGCATCTTCCAATATCACTTCTCTTGTTCTCTTTCTCATACACTTATCTCCCTATTTGAGAACTATAGAAAGTACATCTTTGATAAATCCTGTCACACAATAATTATCGTGAGATATTAGTATTAAATCATTAATAATTACCTTAATTGGTGATCCTAAAATCTGTCATACTGTTCCCAAAATCCAAATGATACATGTTATCACCGCATATGTCACTGCAACCCCGCCTGACCTCTTCAAAGATGATATAGCACCACATCCTTGACATCGTAACATCATTAAATATTCAATTACTTTACATTGTACTTTGTAAGAAGTATAAAAAGGTGTTCGTCTAGCTTTGAACCCAGAACTTTCCATTTTTTGTAAAAAGAAAATACAACTTACCACTAATAATATATTTCATATTATCATATTATACCTTAACTAATTAATCACACCAACCTATTAGAGTGGGGGCAGAAACCATGCACAACCTATAGTATCGTGATACTTCACTAAAAGGCTACCAAATGAATATATATAGTGAATTAATTAGTGAGTAACTTATACCATACACAAATAATTATTTTAAATTATAATTTATTACCAATAATTATAGCAATCACATTTTTATTTATAATCAAACCATTCATCAAACTAAATAAGACCTTGCAAAACTATCTTTTATGCCAACAAAATTTATAAGATAGAAACATATGGTCTTTATATGTATGTAACTAAAAGTAACCAAGACACGGTATATCATTAGACATAAATTCAAGTAAGCTATTAATCAAAAACTCAATTAGTAGGTCATTATTAGTGTCATATTCTAAACACTTTGGTTAGCTAGCTTATACAGTTTGACAAGTTAATTATGAGGATAATATCCGATATACATTAAATACAAAGTCCGGAGTATTTATTTTGAACACAGTATATATAGTGTTAATTTTTTAAATACATAGTAGTATAAGTTATTAAATACATCTGTGGTCATTTCCATTATTCCATACAACATAGGCTAATACTCATGGCACAAAGCAAACTCTCATATGTAGCTCATGAATATTAGAATCGATATACACATACATCGCCAACACTTAAAATTATGCTCTAATGTATTAACAATTTACATTGCCAAATGTCTAACATCAAAGTAGAGAAAAGCGTGACTAAATTTATTATTGTGAAAATAAAATATATATTAAAAACATGATTACTTCGTACTAAAATTGATAACATAAGACAGGCTTGATATCTAAACATTAAATTTTAAAAATAAAAATAAAATAAAAAACTCTGAGACATTTTATAGGCCTCTAGTCATAGGGCTTAGGGATAAATAAATGAAAATAATCACGATTAAGTGATGTTTAATCTCGTAATCCACTTGCATTACATTAAGTTTAGGTAACTAATTGAATATGATGTACGAATATAGCTTAATCATGAAACAAATAATAATGTTTGTATAATTAGCAAAAGTTTTTGCACTTTTAGGACATTTAATACACGTTAATTCACACAAATTAGAGCTAATATCTTTTAGACTTTATACAAATTAAAGAGTCAAAAAAATCTCAAATTAAGAAGAAAATGGTGCAAATGGATAGGACTGAAGAAGTAACATACACCCAAAAAGTGATAAGTTGTTATTACCTTTTTGAAGATAGTTACTACTAACAGTGACATTTGAATGAAGGAAAATTGATGCATAACTCTAGAACAAGTACCTGATCAAGATCTCACTTAGAATAAAAATGTCTCATTCACAAAGTCAGATCTAGGGTACTTGTCCCTCTTGCACAATATTCCTCCTTATTATTACTATCACCTCCTTCCCTAACCTTGTTATCGAGCTTCGATGTGGACGATGAAGACGTGTGATGGAGAAACAAAGATAAGCTAATACTTTTATCAACTTCCTCATCGTCAAGAATAATTGCTTCACTTTCTCTCCTTGGTGGTTTTAGTGACAAATCCAAGTCAATATTACCATCGCAATCTACTCTCTTCCTCTTGAGCGCCATTCGATTTTGAAGACTATCTTTACTATTACTAATAATGAACTTTTCCTGCTCTAGTATCTCTTTGTGTAGAGGGTGTAGCATCCTTGGACTTAAGTCCCTTGTTATTGGCCGTGTGCTCGGGTTTTGCCTTGTTTGATCACGGTAAAGGATTGGTCTTGGCTCTTGATGAGCTTGCTCAATGATTTGCCGAGGATGTAGTTCATTTCCAAATCTTGCCCGTACATTGTTATTCACCCTCGAGTCCATGTCTATTGTGTACAAATCATGCATCCAATTTTGATGTGTGGTCTTTGTAGGGCCTACGTTTCTTCAAAATTGATAGATTATACATGTTAGAGGGGATAGAATACATTGAATATGTATAGGACAATGATTTTTCCAAGGCATTTCTAGTCACCGCCACTAAGACAAAATTCGTTGATGGGAAAATATTGTCTCAACTAAAATCGTGTTGTCAACCTGTCTTGGCGGCAATGAATATTGTCTTGGAAAAATCATGATCACTCATCATGATAGACTAGCAAAATGAAATAATTCCATAACATTTTAGAACTAATTTCTTTCTATCTCTTACGAGATTCATAAGTAATTCAATGTACTATACTCGATTCAAATTTTTGATTACTCGTATTTTACCTGAAACTGGAACTTGAAGCTTGGCAATAGCCTTGTAGCAGAGGAATCTGGCTAAGGTTGAAGATGTTGCAATCTCCAACTTCAAAAAGATGTCTTTGGTCACATGATCCTGCTACATAAAACCATACTTTAGTTTAATCACCCACAAAACCCTAAATCACATGAATTAATTAGAAATTTATACGTAAGTGAATAAAAATAATTTAATAAAAAAGGGGCCTATCTATACTGTAAGGTAAACTGTATATACCTTGACTTTCATCCTCAATCTTTTTGCTCCTATACATCTAATCATACAAAATATCCACAAGTCAAAACAAAATTAAAATTTCATATCAAACAAATAAACAAAATGGTTCATTTACAGCAATAATACTAGTACTAATCATATATTATCAGTATTCAATAAGCATATATAGGATTAACATAAATGTTATCATTATATTAATTACCTGTAGATGACTCTTGACATGAGCTATACTTAGTCCTTTGATGTTCATAAGCTGAAGGACTAACTTAGGTGTTGCTTCTGCACTCCGAAAATAAATAAAATTACAAAACTTTTACTAGTGATTTCAAGTAAGAAATAAAACCCTATGAACTAAAAATCATTTTGAAAATGAACTCACTATCTTGTCCACCAAGCCTTTCAACGGCGTGGATGAATTGAAGGTGGAGATCGGGTGTCCATCGAAGCCTAGGCGTTTTAGATCGAACATAAGGCCTAACGGTAGATGAACTTGATTTCTTCAACTCATCACTTGTTTCTTCAACTGTGCTATTGCTTGAACACCCTCCATTATTTTTGCTATTGTTAAATGTTCTTTCATCATCATTTTCGTCGCTCTCTTCTTCATCGTCTTGATCCTCCTCACCTTCTTGATCACAACGATTCGTTTTCGAGCACTCGCTTTGATCATCATTCCTTTCTTGCATTATTATTTTTTTTCTTGATCTCCTAGTTTTTTTGCTTCCAAGACTAAAATTCTAATAAGTTAGGTGAATAAGAACATTACTTTTGTTGGACTAAAAAGAAAATATATGAATATATGTAAGGATGAAATTATATTAATTAGTAGAGAAAAAGAATAATAAGAATAAGAAAGCATGATTGATGACTAGTAGCTAAGAGACGACCTCTTTGATCAGTTCTTTCCCCATTATTTTTTTTTATCAACTCCAAGACAATATTAATATTAAGAAAAATATTTATTTAGGAGACAAAAATGTTTGTTGATCATATAATATAAGAATTCACTGAAAATTCTATGGCCCCAACTTGGCAAGAGATAATATAAATGGAATTTAAAGTTTTAACTGTTTGTTATGTACAAAACAAAATGGCAACCGGAACCCTAGGCCTTACATAGGAGTAAAATAATATAAAAAATATATATAAAAAGTTGATAATGAAAGGCATATATTCCATGGAATAATTAATGTGTGCTGTACTTAAATATGGGGTTACGTATGATGAATGTAAAGAATTATATGTGACATATACATATTTGAAATCATGCATAGGATGACTAGAGGGGTTAAATGGACCAATGTATGTTCTTTCCTTTGGGGTTTTAATTTACTTGCGTGTGTACGTAGGGAATCCCAAAGTAAATATCGTGTCTTGGTCCATTCATGTCCTGGATAGGTGTCAATTCGAATCATCAGTCAGGTTAGGATCACGTCGTTTTGAGTTTAGATCGTGTTTAATTATAGTTCTCATGCAAATCAAATTATATATCGATCCGCGATCAAATCGCTTTGGTTTACATCGAGCTGTTTCGCATCGAATTAGTACAGGACACCTCTAAGCAATTCAAATTGGACAAACAAATAAAATTAGAGGGAGTATGCATAATTTAAGTATTAATCAAATGTTTAAAATATATACTGAGTAATCCCTAATACTTTATTCTTCACTTGCTTTGTTTATCCTATCATTGATTTATCATCAATTTTTACATAGTGGTGGTAAGCCTTTTTGTGTTACTTATACACGTTGTCGTTCATTATTAGGTTTAGTGTATATTAATATTGTTTTTTTTTTTTTTTTTTTTTGCGGTAAGACTTAGGGTTCTTTCACAAGTTTCCCAATACACCAATTTATTCATGCTCGTATATTTACTCAATCAACGAACAAGCTAAATTGTGACCGACTTCTTCACGACTTATATATGAACTAAGTTTGTTTACACTCCTAGTAACGAGCCAATCTTAATCGAATAAGCTTATGCCCTCTAGATGAAATTAATTATGATATCTTAATCACTTCATTTAAAAGAAATTAAGCTCTTACATCTAATGCTCATTGAAAATCAATTGTACCAAACAATTTTTATATATATACTCCTATTATCATATCATTGAATCTATGTTAGTCTTTTGATCCTTAAATTACAGTAAGTTGGCAGTAAAAATACCGAACACACAATAATTTCTCGAGTCCAACAATACTCGTGACGGAATATTAAGCCATCAAAAAGGGAATCTCCTTTTGACATATTCAACATAAAAATTTATATAATTTCCTTCGGAAGAAGTTTGGTTTATAAAATATACGGCATATGTCCAAATCTTGTATGGTCCAATTTCCACAGCAAAGCATTTAGCTTCCCGTAGACAACAACAAGTAGACTCCCCAATCAAAAATTATATAGATTTAAGCATAAGCCTAATATATAATTTACATGATAGGTAAACTACCCATTAATAGAGTAATAAAATGTATAAACTCTTCAAATCTTAATAAGGCAAGTGTCAAGTTGTCCTATAGGCTAAAAAGGATCTAAATTTACTTTCGCTTTGATATAGCATAAACGCTCTGGTTATTAAGATAAAGAATCCACTTCATAATTGCAACCGAGATTCATCCCAAACCCTATGTTTGCAAAAGGAGTAGCCCTGTTAACTTAGGATTTATCACTTCTTAATGACAAACATAATCAAAACAAGTTTAAACCATTAACGACTATTTGAGAAACACAAAAGATTTTCATTAACTATCAAAAATTGTTCCTTATTTTGCTTATCTTTTCATCCCTAACATACTAAGCTCTACGTGCCCTAATCTAACGGGATAATATTTCAAAGGATGAGGGATCAAGGGGGTAGATTGTAGATATTAATTAACATTACTATGTTTAATTTGAAGTTTTACAAAAACTTATCCCTAAAGACTAAATATAATGTCACATCTTTGTATACGTATGTATATAACTTGGTTGTTGATCCAAAGTTTTTAAAAATTTTAGTGTCCCCACCCGTTGAATAATCTTGGTGGATCCATGGTCCCATGCACCTAAAGATATTCTGCATGAATTTGATTTCAGATAAAGTCTGAACAAGAGAATTTTGGAGAAGGTTGGTTGTCAATCTATGTTTTATTTCAAACCAACTAATTATAATATAGTAACAACCAAAATATTAAATCAATTGATGGTGAGTAGAATAAAATGAGAGAAATGTTGGAAAGTTTAGAGTAATCAAGGGCTTAGTTCACACATACACTTAATTAATTGGCATTAGTTCACACAATTAATTAAGTGGCATGTAATGTCTTACTAGCTTACTAGAGGTGTGTGGAGTTGAGAGTTTTGCATGTGCACTCAAAGAAAGTGTAAAAACTAGGCAATTGTATATACTTATGAAATCAACTAAAGTATACTAAAACTTTTTATGTCAATCTAAGGCTATGTTTAATCTACCCTATCTGATCTAGTATAAATTGTCTTGGTCTTGTTAGTTTTTTATATTTGACTAAAATTTGATTTGTTCTTACACTAATATTTTTTTTTTAAATAATCAAATATGATACCCTCATTTTGTTATTATTGTATACTTTTCCAAATATTAAATTTTTGTAATAATATTAAGTTAGAGATACTATATGATAACCAAACTCAAATGTCGTTTAATTTGATCAAATCATTTCTTGAATAAGCAAATATAAAATATGTATTACAGTATGTAAGTTAAACTAAATATTACCTAGATGTATTTTTACATAAAACATATATTGTTCTAACCCAATATTGAAGATCTTAGCCAACCATTTTGAAAATTTTATCTAGCTAAGCTAGCTAACTAACATAGTAACATATGTATTTGTCTAATTTTCAACGTAATTTAAATAAAAATTCAGTTGTACCTTCCAAATATATGATTAATTTGTATAAATCTATATACATAGTTGTAGAATTATAACGTAAAGCATAATACAATATCGTTCTAAACGAAGAACAATGTCAGTAAACAAAATTAAGAGGATTATTTGTACGTTAAACAACTGAAGCAAAATTACTGTAAGATCGATTAATACTTTTTTTCTTTTTTTTTTTTTTTTTTCTTACAGCAGCTAAACAGAAGATCACTGAATATTTTACAAGTTTACAATTCTTATACACTTGATAAGGAGCCTTCATGAAGATAACGTAGTCTTGATTATATATTATTTAATTAATTTGTAAATTTTCTTTCATTATTTTGTCTTTATGCACGAAATTCACGACATAAAATTGTGAAACCCCAAAATGTTGTGTATTACATGCATTTCATTTTATTATATTATTCTGTATTGATTTGCCAAGTTCACAAGTTTACTTTGATTTGATAACAAAAAACAATAAAAAAGGAATAAACGTATCTACATCAAGAGATAGACATTAGCTTGTATGCATGTGTATGTGACCGGAAAATATAATTTACCTAGCTAGTATCTAAAATTGTTATTCAAGTTATAATAACTTATGAATATATCTTAATCGGTAAATTGCTCAATAATTAGATATATCATTTCTAGTAGTACATAGCGGGGTATAGCATTAAAGTTTATTGCATATACTGATATAATGTCTTTAAAATTCTACATAAGCAATAAATATAAGCAATTAACAATTCCTTAAATGATACTCGTATGTATAAGTTAGAGAATTATGCTAAAATTACACGTAATGATGTTTTAATGATTCTTAATCTTTCGCTTCTTAAATATGTATGCCGCTTAAAGGGATATACCATTCCTCTTAGTATATCGCGAGCCATAAAATAGTTCAATAATTACGATAGAATTTCAAAAGGCTAAGGATAGCCCATCACACATATAGAAGACACAAGACAAAGCTAACAAGTAATTAAATAATACCTTGTTTCTCCTTGGTACACTAAACTATTCCGCTAATCTCCTATACAAATAATTTATGATTTAATTAGTGGAAATAAAAAAGTTTCGAGTTTAATTAAAAATAGTATTTTGGCAGAGAAGATTCACAACAATCCCATCATCCAAGCTGTGAAGTCAACTCCCAAAAGGACTGTTGTCTGTTTTCTGATAATCCTAAATGATAAATTCATATAAAATTTTGGAAATTGCCAACCTTTTAGAATAAGGTTAAATGGGAAAATGTGCTTGCCTATTAATACGGATCTAACCATTATTTGAGAATGAGTATGTCTGTCTTTTTATATGAATCCACGATTGCTCATCTCTAGTTTTGGCCTCGTTAATTTCCCTGCATATATCCTATGTCAATTCTCAAACTTGGTGAAATTACTAGCTTAAGGGAAATGGAAGATGGTAAAAAAATTAAAAAAAAATACATGTGTTTAGTACTTTTTTCAAGAAAAGACACACTAATTATAATTAAGACCCTGTTCTTTTGAGCTTCTGGGCAGAACAGTGTAGGGGTCAGTACAGTAGAGAAGATTTCAGCAGATTAGAGTAGAGCATAGCAGATTTCAACATTATTATTATTATTATTATTATTATTATTATTATTATTATTATTATTATTTCTCAAAAAATTTCAAAGTCATACAACCTATAATAAGTTAGTGGGAAGCCGAGAAACAATCTGGGCCCCACTCCTTTAGCTATAGCAAAGCCTATCCTAGTAAAAATATGAGCAGCAGCACAAGCCCCTATATCCTGAGTCGTCGAGGACTTCTGAACCCGCTTCATCAACGCAACAGCCTCCTTCTCAATTCCCAAGTGAAGAAAAAGAAAATAGAAGGAAATCATATCCAATCGCCGACAACTAGATTCGTACTTGACCCGCTTCCGATGAGCCGCATCAGCCACAACCCGCCCAGGAACAAAGTCAGATAACCCAAATTGTGTCAAAGGAGAAGACCTTGTTAAGTCAACGCAGACAT